GATGGAGGTTCCTGCAAGTGTGTGGACAGTCCTACACTCATGCTTGGTCTGGGGTCTGGCTGGAGAAGGGTCCAGGGCGTTGAGAGCAGGTGGAAGTTTCCACACACGCTGGGCCTGCAGTCTGGCTGGAGAATGTGTAGGTTTTTTAAGCTCTCTGTGATTCTCAAATTTATATGATGATTTTGACTAGGATTATACTGAATCTATAATTATAAGAGTTGATATCTTAATATATTATTGAATCCTAGCATTCTGAGGAGCTACAACAGGAGTGTCTCCACTTCAAGTTCTATTTATTTATTTATTTATTTATTTATTTATTTTTGGTACCAGGGATTGAACTCAGGACCATGCACTTGCCAGACAAGCATTTATTCTACTGAGCTATCTCCCCAGCCCTTCCACTTCAAATTCAAAACCTGGAGGCCGGGGAGATAGCTCAGTGGAATATGCACTTCCCTGGCAAGTGCAAGGACCTGAGTTCAATCCCCAGTTCCGAAAAAAACATCAAAACCTGTTTGATCCCTCATGTGTAGTGCCAGCCCACCCCAGGGTTGCGCTGAGACCCTGATGAAGACTCCAGATGGTGACACAGGCCTGTAATCCCAGCCCTTGGGAGGCTGAAAACAGCAGGATGACTATGAGTCCAACCTGTGTAGTGAGACCCTCTAGACCCTGTACAAAATACATTTAAATAAATAAATAAATAAGGGCCAGCCAGATAGCTCAGTGGATTAAAACACCTGCTTAGGCAGAGTGCAGTGGCCGGGGTTCAATCCCCAGTATGCTGTGCCAGCCCCACCCCTGGGGCACAATGAGACAGCAATTGAAACTGGGCGTGGTGGCACGTGCCTGTAATCCCAGCTCTTGGGAGGCTGAACATAGGCAGATCACTACCTGTCAGATCTATGTAGTGAGACCCTGTAGGCCCTTACTAAAGTACAAATAAATAAATAAATAAATAAAATTTTAATAAAATAAAATAACCCAAACCAGCCTGCGCAACTTAGGGAGGCCCTGTCTCAGAAACAAACAACTTCCTGGCAAGTGCAAGGTCCTGAGTTCGATCCCTGGTACCACCAAAAATGAAAAGAAACAAACACAAACAAAAACAAAAAAGAATTGAGAATATAGTTCAGAGCAAAGACTTTGGATTCTTGGGGCCAGGGAGATGGCTCAGTGGAATAAGTGCTTCCCTGGCAAACACAAGGGCCTGAGTTCAATCCCCAGTTCCGCAAAAAAAAAAAAAAAAAAAAAAAAAAGAAAAAGAAAAAGAAAAAGAAAAAAGACTTTGGGTTCAATTCCCAGTACTGGATTGGCCAAATAGCTCAGAGGATTAAAAGCCCCTGCAAACAGGCACAGGGGCTGGAGTTTTGCTTCCCGGACCTGACCCTGGGGTGCGCTGAGACGGCAAATGAGACTGGGCATGATGATGCACCGGTAACCCCAGCTCTTGGGAGGCTGAACACAGGCAGATCACTACAAGTCTGATCTAGTAGTGAGACCCTAAACATCCTATAGACCCTACCCTAAAATTAAAAAAAAAAAAAAAAAAAAGTCCCAGTACTGCCACACACAAGCAACAAAAAAAATATTGTTGCATTTGTCCCCTAACCCCCATAGTATACATCTCCATTATTCAGGTCTTCTTTATTTTTTTCAGCAATGCTCTATGGTCTGTTTTTGTTTTTTTGGTACTGGGGAACAAACTCAGGCAAACTTGTGCTTGCCAGGCAGGAACTTATGCTGCTGAACTATCTCCCCAGCACCTGCTTTATGGTTTTTTTTTTTTTAATTTTTTAAATTATTTATTTATTTATGTGTGTGTGTGTGTGTGTGTGTGTGTGTGTGTGTGTGTGTGTGGCCAGCTCAGCCCACCAGGGGGAGGGGCTGGCTGGCATGTGGTGCTGGGGAATTGAACCGTGGTCCCTGTGCTTTGCTAAGCTTGTTCTAAGTAGGTGCTTCAGACCACTGAGCCATCTCACCAGCCCCTGCTTTATGGTTTTAAATATTCTGGTGTTAGACATCTTCTGTCATACTTATCCCTAAGAATTTTAATTTTTTAAAAAGCTGTCAGTTTTAATCTGGAAAATAAAACATTAAAAAAGAAAACAAGTATCACTCTCATTGAATTTTTTTCTTTCAATCATTTATTTGTTTATTTATTTGGTACAGGATTTCACTATGCAGCTCAGACTCATAGTGATCCTCCTGTCTCAGCCTCCTCAGTGCTGGGATTATAGGCACACACCACCAAGTGTGTTTTTAGTGGCCAGTGCAGTACACATGGCATGTGGTACCTGGGATCAAACCCAGGTCCTTGCACTTGGCAGGCAGGTGCTTAAACCACCAAGCTATTCCTCAGCCTTCATTGTGTTGGGTTTTTTTTTTTTTTCCTGTAAATCTAAAACTATTCCCGTACATGAAGTTGAGGGGAGCTGGGCTGGAGGCTGAGAGAGGGGCAGATACCCAAGACTGGTGGTGAGGGTGTCTTTTTTATGAAAGGCAGACACTGACATCCGCGACTGCAGGGTCTGGGTGAGATAGAAAGTCTGCTTGAGATAGCAAAGAGCCCTAGGGGGCTGGTAAGATGGCTCAGTGGTCTAAAGCACCTACTTAGAACAAGCTTAGCAAAGCACAGGGACCGCGGTTCAATCCCCTAGCACCATATGCCAGCCAGCCCTGCCCCTTGGTGGGCTGAGCTGGCCACACACACACACAAATAAATAAATAAATAAAATTTTTAAAAAAAGAAAAAGAAAAGAGCCCTAGTAAAACATAGCTCTAGAGGGCAATGTGAATTGAGGAACAGGAAAACATTTTTAGGACTTGAGTTCCCCCTCCTCTGTCAGCAGTTGTGAATGGAGACCATTTCTAGACAGGTTGTCAATGTCCCTCTGTCCACACATTGGAGTGATTTCTCTCTTCATCCATACAGCTCCCAAGGGCAGGGGCTGGAGCGCCTGACACTCAAGAAAGGGCAAGGGATCATGAGTGGAGAGAAACAGCTTCAGGGTTCATGATGTGGTGAGGAGAGCCACATTCTAGGAGTCAAGAGATGTTCACCTCAAGTCCTGTCTGCACTATCCTTCCTAGGTGGCCTCCACAAGTCATTTTCGTTCCATGTCGTAGAAGTTGAATCAGGTGATGTTACAGATGCTTTCTGTCTCTATTATTTTTATGAGAACAAGCATATTTTATTTCTCATCTAGCATAATGTACAGTGTCTGGTCTATAGTAACACTTAGAGAAATAGTGCTGTGATTAGTGAATGAATGAATGAATGAATGAATGAATGAATGAAATACTAGAAAAAGTATTTCTAGACATGGACAGCTGGTGATATCACCTCTGTACAAAATCACAAGGGGTAGTTAATGGTCTTAGACCAAGGGAAAAACTTTAGAGTAGAAATTCATAAAGGCTGGGACGGGGAGGAAATGATTGGACAACCACCTACTTTAGAGATAGCAAAGCCCCAGAATTCTGGCCCAGCTTATTTTTTATTTATTTATTTATTTATACAGGGTCTTGCTATGCAATTCAGACTCGTGATCCTCCTGTCTCAGCCTCCCCAGTGCTGGGATTACAGGTGTGTGCTACCATGCCTAGTTAGGGCCAGCATAGTATGTTGTACCTGGGATTAAACCCAGGTCCTTGCACTTAACAGGCAGGTACTTAGCTCACTGAGCTATCTCCTTAGCCCCTGGTCCAGCAAGAGATTAGTCAAACACATTGAAGCTGTCTTAGCTGTCAGACTGGCAAGATGATTCTGGGTGTGCAGAAAGGTAGGTGTGGCTTTACAAGGTGGATCCACTGGCACAAAGCCATACTGGAACAGTCTCTGCGGCTGGGTGGCAGCCTGTGATTTTCATGAGACTTGGGCTGGGCACTCCTCTTCAGCCACCCCTTCCACACCCATCCCTGGCTCAGAATTCCAGACACCCTGGCACCCAGCCTGGATCTCTCGCCTATGGGTTCCTCACGTGGGTTCATCAAGCCTGGTGCTGATTTATTGTCCCAAAGGGAGCCTCAGCTTCTTCAGAACCCCAAGAGAACTGAACATCAGTTACTAACTTACTTAGGCAGCCAAGGGCAAAGTGTAGACCCTGGCACGGGAATCTGTAATAAGCCTTGCTCTTTTATATACCCACTTCCCGCGTTCTCTTTTCCCCATTGCAGCCCCTGCAGTTGACAAAGCTGTGAGCTACAAAAGGGAGAGCTAGTGAGGCACTTGTCACAGTTGAGCCAGACTGTATGGAGACAGGATGAGGTGTGGCAAAGGGAAGTCACAAGCTCAGGGCCCTGAAATGGGGCCCAGGGAGTGAAGGATAGAGTGGGGCTACTACTGAACCCTCAGACCAGAGCAGGAAAGGCAAGGCAGCAGTGGGGGTGGTGAGGTTGGCACAATGACTTAAGGAGCCAGAACAGGAACAGAACTGAGGCCAGGCCCAGGCCCACGTCCATCCAGAACCTTACAGCCCCAGTGTTCCCAGTGGGGAGGGAACAGGAAGCTGTGACTTCCTCTCTCCTTTCCCTCCCAGCTCTGAGCTCCAAGGTCACTTGCTGCTGAGATGAATTCCAACCTGTATTTTAGTTGGCACAGCTCCCTGGGTATGATAACAACAGCTGCTCAGTGCCTTGCTCCCTTCCACCATAAAGACCCCAGACTTCTTTGAAATAAGTCATTGCAAAGAAATAAAATGTGCTATTGAGGTGTGTTATGTACATATACCAACTCCCCATGGTGAATGTAATCATTATGTACTGCATACACGCACTAAGAAAAACTTATTACAAAGTGCCATCTCATGAATATTGTTAGGTGCTGGGGATCAAACTCTAGGGCCTGGCACATGATGAGCACTGGCTGTACCCCCAGGCCTTGACAAAAAAAAATTCTTGAGACTAGGTCTTGCTATATTGCCCATGTTATCCTTTTTTTTTGGCGGCACCAGCGATTGAACTCAGGCCTTTGAACTTACCAGGCAAGCGCTTATTCTACTGAGCCATCTCCCCAGCCCGTTGTGTTATCCTCGAATTCCGAGACTCGTCTTGAGTAGCTGGAACTGCAGGTGGATGCCACTACATCCTCTAACCCTTGAAGGCACACAGGAGCACAATGACTTACCCAAAGGCACGCAGACAGTGAACAGCAGGTGCAGGGAAGGTGCTAAGCCTCTCTGCCCCTTCCTCTATCAGACCCTGGATCCGGTTCCCTGTTTTTTGACTCCTCTACAGCCCCATTCTTTGGGGCCCAATGCAGCTGGTGCTGCACTCTGCTTGGAGTGGGGCGCCTCTAGTTTGGTTACGTCACCCCCTTTTTATTAGTACATGTGCTGCCAAAGCGACCACTGGTTGTGGTCATCCCTGAGTCAGGGAGTACCTGGCACCTGGAGTACACTGGGGTGGACACTGCCTTCCCCTATTTCTTTGCTGTTGTGCATAGCCCTTCTTAAATATGCACAAGGACACACAGACTCAGTCCCTGTGGTCTGGGCCCCTCCTTGCCCTGCCCCACCCACCACCGACCTCACCCAGCAGGAAAGGGACAGGCAGTACCCCTCCCTCCAGGTGTGGGCGTGAGCTAGGACTCTGCAGCCAGAGGCCCCAGAGGAGCACACAGACCCAGAGCCTCCTGCCGAGAGCCTGCGGTGGCACCTGCCAGTCTGGCAGGCACCTGCTGGCCCCTCCACCCAGCAAAACCAGCCTGTGCGATGCTCACACCTAATATCTCGGTCCCACTGCCCACGTTCTTTTGGGTCAACGCCTCAGGAGCTGGGGTGCTGGGTGCTGATGATGCCACACTGCCTGTCGAATTCTTCACCCTGAGGATCTTGGTAGCCCTGGCCTACGGGCTGGTGGGGGCCATCGGCTTTCTGGGGAACTTGGCTGTGCTGTGGGTGCTGGGTAACTGTGGTGCTCGGCAAGCCCCTGGTCCACCTTCTGACACCTTCGTCTTCAGCCTGGCTCTGGCGGACCTGGGGCTGGCGCTTACTTTGCCCTTCTGGGCTGCTGAGTCAGCACTGGACTTCCACTGGCCTTTCGGAAGCGCCTTGTGCAAGATGGTCCTGACAGCCACCGTCCTCAATGTCTACGCCAGCATCTTCCTCATCACGGCCCTGAGTGTTGCCCGGTACTGGTTGGTGGCCATGGCTGCAGGGCCACGTACCCACGTCTCACTGTTTTGGGCCCGTGTGGCCACCGCGGCAGTATGGATGGCAGCAGCCCTGGTGACAGTGCCCACAGCCATCTTTGGGGCTGAAGCTGAGGTGTGGGGTGTGCACCTCTGCCTGTTGCGCTTCCCCAGCAGGTACTGGCAGGGGGCCTACCAACTGCAGAGGGTGGTCCTTGCCTTTGTGCTGCCCTTGGGCATCATCACCACCAGCTACCTGCTGCTAGTGACCTTCCTGCGGAGGCGGCAACGACGGCGGCGGGATAGCAGAGTAGTAGCCCGCTCTGTCCGTATCCTGGTGGCCTCCTTCTTCCTTTGCTGGTTTCCCAACCATGTGGTCACTCTCTGGGGTGTCCTGGTGAAGTTTGACCTGGTTCCCTGGAGCAGAACTTTCTACACTGTGCATACTTACGTCTTCCCTGTCACCACCTGCCTGGCACACAGCAACAGCTGCCTCAACCCTGTGCTGTACTGTCTGCTGCGGCGGGAGCCCCGCCAGGCTCTGGCAGACACCTTCAGGGATCTACGTTCCAGGCTGTGGCCCCAGGACCCCCAGCAGGTGGTCCTAAAGGAGGTAGGCAGCCCATGGATAGCGAGCACTCCCCAGGACAGTGGGCCTTCTGATGTGCTTGCAAACATTCACCAAGGGACACCGGCTTGAAGGACAAGGCTCCACTCTCTCTAGGACCACAGAGGATCCACAGATCCCAGGTAGAGGCTGTGCTCTCAGCCAGGCCCACAGAAGTTCTGATCTCCAATCGCCAACTCTGGGTGTAGGAAATGTGGGAGGCCAGGGCCCAGGTCTGAGCTGGGTGTGACAAAGCTTAAGTGTTTATTTGGAGGTGCAAAAGAAGAGGAACTCTGAATAAACTTTTGGATTACCCACAAATTGCCCTGGTTATTTATTAATTTATTAATTACTTAATTTGGTACCAGGGCTCAAACTCAGGACCTTGAGCCTGCCAGGCAGGTGCTTAGGCTACTGGGCTATCTCCCTGGCCCT